TTTTAAAAAAAAAAAAAAAGAAAGAAAGAAAATAAGATGGGTGAAACGTGTGGTTTTAGGAGAGGTGTGGGGGAAGATCCGGTATGTTTGTGCAATTGGCTGAGTTTATAATTCTGGTAAGGTGTTTGAGTTATGTAATGAATTTGAGCCACTTAGCCTATATTTATGCTACCTATCCAAATAGTCTACGTTATAACCATAAAAGACCTTTTGATTCACTAGTTCCGATTTTGATTGGTTTAGAGTAGAAGTTAGACAATGAGCAAGCATATGATTAAACTTGTTTATCGACCAATGTGAGTGCTCCTATTTTTATCTGTATAAGAATCTGAGTGAGGCACACATATACATTCCCATACTTGAGAGAACACCATGTCAAAGTATAGTGATCAAGCATGTGGTTGTGTGATGTTCGTATATGCCATTTGAATGCTCGTTGTTGAAGTTGAACATTTTGAGGCTTATCTTGTTAATGACTGTTGTCCAGGCTCGTTTTTAGTTTTGTGTCTTTTCTTTTCTTTTTGTTTGGGACGAACAAAGGTTTAAGTGTGGAGGAGTTTGTTTGTCCCATTTTTGTTGCATTTTTTTTGTGCTTGTTTTGCTTTTCTTTTTCCCCCCGTTTTAGGTTGTTTCTTTCGTTTTTATTCCGTTTTGTGTTTCATTGCGTGTTTTCCTTTATTGTGAGTCTTTCTGTGTTTTTTGTTTATTTTTCTGGTTTTCTTCGTGTTTTTTCGTTTATGGTGTACAGGTCGGGAGTCATCCCATACTCGTTAAAAAAAATAATTTGCAATAATTTGCTACAACAGTTCCTATGTTGCACTACAATGAGATTTATAAACCAAAAGTCAACAGACGCCATAAACACTCAAGAGTCAAGACCATATATGAATCCCATGAACCATATCGATGCTAAGTCAATGATGAAAAAGGAGAAACCTGCATACAACAGTCAACAACCATGTGAATAAGTCAATCTTAAAGAATACTTCATTTTCTCCAGAAAGAAAAACTTAAATAGAAATGTAAAACTACATTACCTGGAGAGCTTTGACAATGCCATCTATGATTTTATACTCTATGTGATATAGCACAGAGAATAATGTTTCGACCAGTATACGGTCTGAATGAGATAGGCATGAAGGCAAGCTGAAGGCGAGCTCGGCAGAATGGATGGGGAGGCCGAACTCAGGGTTGAGCATGACATTCATCTGAGGCATAATGATATGGCATAATATAAGGTGGCTCTTAACTCGCAAGAAGGGGCCAAGAGTTGAGCTCGATGTTTAGGACCTATGTTAGTAAAAATGTCGGGTTGTAGAATCTTGTCCTAGAAGAGCTAGTTAAGCTCAGCGTATAGAGTGCTCGGCCAAGAGGCTCCGATTTGGTGGATGGCTGCAAGGCCGAGCTTACTACGAAGCTTGGCGTTGTTGACAAGCTGACTTTTTTTAAAAAGAAGTTAGGTGTAAACTTATTCAGACAAGTATGCGCATATGCTCGAGGGGATAAAGGGGAAGCCTGCCGGGAAGATAACAAAAGCCCTCCGCTGGGGGTTAGTTGAACTGCTTAGCGTAATGGGTAATTTCTATAATGGGGCACCTTCGTATAGGAAGCAGAGTTTTAATTCCTTCTGTCAAGGGAGTTGGAAGTACCCAGGACTCTAGGATATTAAAATAAGGTAAGAAATGAGTTAGAGTCCTGCGGAGAGAAGACTCCTGACCATCCTAGAAGTCTTCAAAGGCTTGATCACTCTCGGCTATAAAAGAAGTCAGGTTCTTTACTATAAAAAACAATAGACACATATGCATTTCTCGGTCCTCTACCATTTTTTCTCGGATATACCACTGACTTGAGCGTCAGTGTGTCCATGCCACCCCCGACATGTTTTGCAGGTACCGGCGATCAAGGAGTCGCAACCCAATTCGAGAGGAGCGATCGAGAACTTTTGGCATAACACTATGAGTGTCTCATCCCTCTGAATATTGACAACCACATCATATTTCTTCCTGAGCTTCATTACAGTGCTCAGTTCCTACAAAAAATTCCAAAGATAACAACCTTACATAAAAATGAACTGTAGTACCTCACGTGACTTAGAGAACATAAATTGTGCCTTGTTATAAACCATTTCGACATGATTCCACTGTAGCACCGAATTCTCTATAACACTAGAGAATCTTATTGTCGCCAGTTGCCAACTAAACAAGTAATAAGAACACACCAAATTACCGAAACGACAGATAATAATGGACATAGATAATTTCGATGGAAGTATCCTCATACCAACGTGGTCCAGTGTCATTGTCATTTTCGCTCTTTCACATGTTCTCTCCACCATCCACCCAAAGAAAAAAAAAAAGAATTCATAATTCAAGTTACTAATCTTTCTTAGTTTGCCTTTCTTCCTAAAAATTAACTGAGCAATAAATTCTACTCCAACCTAGATTAAACTTGACAGAAAACACAAATTAATCCTCCAAAAAGAGAAAAAAATAACATCTACATTACAAAGATGGAAGAAGAAAAGCATCGATTTATGGAAACAAAGGCTACAAGTAAAGAAAAAAATGGTTACTTGATCATGGGCTTGCCTAGAATTTGAACCAGATGCTTGCCTTGGAAGCGAGAGGAAGCAAATCTAAAAAAACTCCGACGACCTGGCTTTAGAACCTACCGAATCGACATTAGTACAAGTAGGCATGGACGTCGAGCGCCGCCGCGGCTGCCCCCAACTGCCATGTCCCAATCACCATCACCGTCAATGGAGAAGAAAAAAACAAACAAAAACGAGAACTTTGAGTCAGATAATTGAAATGCAATTTAGGAACTTTTGATGGTTTATTTGAGATGTATAATTGTGTTTAGGTTTAATGTTAAGAAATGAATAATTAAACACTCTATAAGTAAATTAGTTAAAGATTTATAATGTTATTTCCTATAATTTTTAAGCAAGCATTTAGATAAGTCCTTTTCTTGAATTATTATCTAGTTAATTAGGAAAAAGGACACTTGACATCTATTGAAGAGATACCTACTGTTAAATATGTATGATGCTAATACGTGGCTAATAGTAGAATGACTCAACTATGTCTTAGAGCAAAAATGTCCTTTTATATAGATAAAAAAATGTCTTCAAATCAATATACATATTTGTTTTCTTTAAAGGAAAAATAAAAACAAAAAAGGAATGGTAACCCGAAAGCTAAAAATAGGGAGAAAATTAACTATTTAGGTTGAATTTGCCATATTTGTAGGAAATAAATGAGAAGCAAGCACATGGTTTTGTGTCGTTTGAAACTCTTTTGAAGATGCATATACCAAATCTTTCTTCTCTTTTCCTTTGAGAATCATCCCTGCCCTTCTCCTACAGGTTTCATTCTATATCTTTCCAACATCTCATTAATTGGTCCATTATTTTTCTTGTTTTTGAAAAAAAAGGTTGTTTCTTATTTCTTTATAACTTTTTTTTCTTATGTGTTAAACGCAATAAAACATATATATATATATATATATATATATA